GTACAGCACACTGACAGTGTCTCATAGGGCAGTGAGACTGTGGTACAGCATAACAACAGTGCACTGTAGCATGGTGACAGCAGGGGACTCACGCAGTGAACAGCCATGTCTCTCTCCGTTCAGGCTACGAAGGAGTTCCTCAGTTTTTCTCAGCTCTTCTCGCCCACATTGAGGCTGTGCTGGGGAGCACGGGCAGCGGCCTGTGACGCCAGGGACTCGCCTGGGCAGCCACCCCAGCTGTGCTGCATCCTCCTTGGCCAAACAGGACCCTTGGCGTCCCCCCTTCGACCCGGCAGCAGTTCCAGCCTTGCAGCTCCATATCTGATGATGGAACTTTTTTCACAGCAGAAGAGGTCAAGCTTGCTTGGGCACATTTTGTTGTGTTTCACATTGGAGTGCTCTAACAGGCTCTACAGTTGTGTAGTGTAGTGTCTCTGCAGTGCTGTGCTAGTCTTTCCGGTGCTTTGCTAACCTCCCAAGTGCTTTCCTGTTCTCCCCATGACTGTACTAGTCTTCCATGTTCCCTGCTACAGTAGTTTCCTCATTGCTTTACTGCTCTCTGTAGGCAGTTGCAAAACGCAAGGACTTTGTAGAGAATTGCAATTCCATAGAGGAGATCCGGCCACTTACTGTATGTTATCATTGAATGGCCTTTGAAATGTTGTTATCATGAAATCATCTCAGGTAAAAAAAAAAAGGCCATCTAACCAAACTGGAATCATTCTTTGAAACTGTCAGACTAGCTGTGTAGGTTTTTGCTGCCCTGTCCCCCAATGAAGGACGCTCTGCAAAACAGACAGACGGCGCAGTTTTGTTTTCTAACTGTGCTTTTATTGATTGACAAAGCAGCGTACACAGCAGGCAAGGCGTAGGACTCTTGATCGGCCAGCAGCAGGCAGCTCCCAGCTGCGGGTGCATCTCGTGCCCCCCTCCCCACCAGGACCTCCCAGTCCTCTCCTCCTGCGCTCCTGCGGAGGGGGTTTTGCCATTGGGAGGGGCGGTGGCTGTCAGTGTCGAACACACACACACACACACCTTTGCCTCCCTCTGTGAGCTCCCTCCTGCTAGCAAACCAGACGATCCCACCATACAGACGAGCTATTTCATGTAGGAGTCTGAGGCATTCTGATGTGGCTGTACTGGAAGATAAAGTAACCTTTAGGAAATGCAAAAAATGACCAGTATTTATGGAATCCCGTGAATCTTTTTTTATGAAAAAGGGGAAATGTTCCAGGTCTATAACATCTAAAAAAATAAATATCCCTAATTATTAAAATCACGGTCTATTTTTATTTAAAGTAGTTTATGCAGGTTTTGTGAGGTCAAGAGCATTTATTTCCCTCAAATGAAAGAGCTGCTCTAATATTTCCTCCCTGTGTGTGAACAGAGGCCTGGGCAGACGATTGTCAACCCTATCCATGAACTAAAGGGGCCCCCTGCCCTGTCCTTGGAACTTCCTTATAATGCACTGTGCAGCGTGATTGTCCTGTTAGCTGGCCCTTTTACCTGGCTGTAAGAGGCAGTGAAATTCAGTCCCTGTACTCGCATGTTCCCATGGACAGTGACTGTAGACGCCACAGTCTGGTACGTCACCTCAGTGCGACTGACCGACGAACTGTGTAAGGACGCATCTCGCTTTGTGTGTGACCTCCTGTCTCTGGAACATCACACCCCACTGCCTCATGGTCTCAGTAATCCTATAGAAAGTGGGAGGACGAGCTGGACTGGATTTAGACTTTTTGCTCATTTAAAATGATGTTTTAATACACTGTTGTTACCACTTAAGATCACCTACTTGACATACTGCCAGGCCATTGTAACAGGCTGTTTTTTTACATTTTAATTTTACTTGAAGGCAAAGCCGTTATTGCTACGTTTTTAAACGCTTACTGCCTTTTAAACTGCCTCCAATAGTGCCTATCTGCATTTTTTTTATTGATATAAATGAAATACCACTGTAATGTTTTCTAAAAGAGAGTCCGCATGAGCCTTTTGGTGCCAGGCATCGGCGTGTGTGTAAAGTAACGACAGCACATTTCAGGCTGAACTGTGAAAGACCAGGCTGTGCCTTTCCACCCGCAGGAGCAGGTCTGAGAGCGCCAATCCCAGGCGGGCCAGGCGGGCGAGGGGCTTTCCTTCTCCCTCGCCCTGGCCCTCTCCAGGCCCCTGCCCGTGCTCTGTCGGATCCTCCGCGGATTCGATCCGGGAGGTAAACGTGTGTTGCCGTGCATCGGAAAGTGATGACCACGGTCCGCACCGACGCTCAAGAGCTTCTGTGAGGGGGCCTGGCTGGAAGGCCGTCCCGCAGGCTGGATTGAGCCGAGAGCCTCAAGGGGGGGGTTGTTGGGATGGAGAAATAGCCAATGATGGGTTCTGGTAAAGCAGGGGTTTGTTACCTGTGCGTAGAGCCTGGAGGGTTTGTCCCCAGAACCCCTGATCCGTGTCTGCATGGTTCCCCCCCGTCCAGGCCTGGCCGCCTTGTCTGACTGGTGGTTGAACAGCGCGGAGACGAGAGGGGGAGGGGTGACGGCACCCTCTCCCCTAACAGTCTGGATAACAGTGCTCAGCCAGAGACTACTCTCACCGCACACCCCAGGAACAGCACGCATTCGGCATCGTCGGCATCCGCATCACAAGACACAACAGCAAGAAAACACACTGCATAACAGGAGTTCATACATTGACAGACTGAGTTCCAGGTACAGGGAAGATGGTCAGGGATGTGTGTCTATGTTCATGCATCTGTGTGTCAGTGTACGTTGGTTTGTGTCGCTTAAAGTGTGCATTAACCTGTTTGGCATATTGGTATTAGTGTGCTGGTGTGTCACTGCGCTGTGCTTCAGTATTGGTGTATGTTTTTGTGACAGAGTTGAGATGCTCGGTGTTAGAGGAGAGCAGTGGAGTTTGCCTGTGTGATAAGGGAGAGTGTGCATCGGTATGTGTGTGTGTGTGTGTGCGTGTGTATTGGCGTCCGTCCGGGCGCTGCGGTTCAGTCAGCCCTTCCTCAGCTCTCCCAGCTCCGCCGCCACCCTGCGCAGCTCCGTCTCGATCTCCGACAGCTCCTGTTACCACACACAGGTCGACACCCGTATTAATGCCACCTCCTGCAGCCGTCGTGCCAGTGCAGGAGAGACGGACACCCAGAGCCAGAGCCCTAGTGCTGGTCACTCCTGACTCATCCCAGCACTCTATGAGTAGCGTACTCAAAAGAATAAAATGAAAGGTGCAGTATTGTACTAAAAACTGCGCTGTGAAGTTCAACCTGCATTACGAACGAGCATCTTGAGTGGCCGAGCCACTGAGGAGCTCAAGAAACATGTCCCTGCTGGAGCAGGGTTTCACAGACTGGGCGCATATAAGACCAGACCCAGAGGGGAAATCTGCACTAGTTTAACCCAGAAAAAGCCCCCAGAAATGTGTAATTTAACAGATCACAGATATAACAAAGTGCAGCCTTCTGCCTGGAGCTGATCGTCGAGCCACCAGCAGTGCTTTGAGCTCGTTCCTCGGTCATGGCAGCAGGGCTGGGGTTTAACGGGACGCACGGAGAGACGGACACCCACCTGAGCCCGGGATCGCCCAGCTGCCTCCCTCCTCTGCTCCCGTCCCGACTCCTCTCTCAGCACCTCAAACTGCCTGCTCTCCTCGTCGCTGGCTTTCTCCATCACTCGCTTCTGCTGGGCATCCCTCATCTCCCTCTCTCCTTCCCCCTCTTCTCTGGCTTTCTTCTGTCTCGTCTCCTCCAGCAGCTCCTTGAGTGCTTCCTCCTCCTCCTCTTTCGTGGTCCCTCTCTTTCTGTCTGTCTCCTCTAGGTCTTTCTCGTTCCCTCTCTTCTTCCTGTACTCCTCCAGCTCTTCGTCACTCTTTTTCTCGTTCCCTCTTTTCTTCCTGTACTCGTCTAGCAGCTCCTCCAGCTCTTCGTCACTCTTTTTCTCGTTCCCTCTCTTCTTCCTGT